AAGGCAAGGGTCTTGTTTTATCCTTCATGTTTCCTACTAGGATTAGCTTCGTCTCCTGTCTTCAACGAGAGCCAAAGGGGTTTTTCTTTTGTTTTCCTAAATAAGCACTTCATTCTTATCACATCGGACTTATTTTTAGAGTATTTGAATAGAATATCTTTAAGTTGTCAGTTGCTACTGTATAAATAGAGGTTGCTAAGGAAGGAACAGTAGCTGCTTCCTTAAGCAACAGTAGCAAAAGAGGATGAAACAGCAGATGATTTCTTAGCAGAAACAGCAGACTAAGGGCAGCAGTTCTCTTCTACTGCAGTGTTTCAAAAATGCAGAAATGCCATCCGCTAAAGTATTGATATTTTAAGTCAGAAAAATACAGCAAATCTACCTCATATAGGCACATTTGCTAACGAAGAAGGTGTTTTCCCTGTTTCTGAAATTCATCACTTTCACATTTTGTAGCTCTTTAGTTTTCTTTTACAGTTGTAGACATGTTTACTCTCTTTTTTAGGGTTATTTGCCTACTTCAGACCAATCCTGGGAATTCACAACTCAAGGATCTCACATTCAGAAACACATTAAAAATTGCCGGCAAGGTTACAAGTTCCCTGTAGCTGCAGAGAGTATGTATTTAGGTATAACATTGTTATTTAGGAAGAGATTTGTCAGAAAAAGGGTTTCGTTTCTTACATTTAATTATTTATTTAGATCTGAACATTGCCAGATGAGAACACTAGTGCAAAGAATTTGGTTTTGGGGACTCAAACCCTTTACTGGGGTTTTTACTGAAGCCCTTATTTTATGATTCAGTAATTTCACAGCTGGAGATGACCATTGTGCCCATTCTTAATCACTTTCAGAGCACAAGAGTAGCCCTCCGCACCCAGTCCACTAATGAAGCCACCAGCAGGTGCATAATTTAGAGATGATTATTCTGCTGATGTGATCACTTCAGGAAGCTGGCTGCTGCACACTGCTCTGACTGTAGTCACTAGGGAAAGGTATTACAACAGTAGAGCTCCTCTGGGAAACAAAAAGGCTTAGGACTTGTCCACACAGGGGACAATTCAGGACAGTTTATCTGAATTAGCTAGAGGCTTGCTGTGGATTAGTTAGAATCATATAAAAGCTATGGGTGCATACTTTTATTCAGAATAAATCGTCCTAATTCAGTTAGATTAACTTCCATGTGTTTTACACAGCTAGTGATAACAGATCAAGAGCAGAAGACTTGTAAGGGTATCTAAAATGGTCTGCCGATGAATATAGTTGCTCTCCCCTTATGCCTCATGAATATCACATCTCACAGCAGAATGTAGTGAGATAACAGCTGACAACTGGAATGGAAGAAATTGAGTTCAGGGACATGATAGGCAGAGAATTGGATGTCACCATCATCTTCAGAAAGAAAGTAGATGGAGCCAGGGCACTAGCCGGTTACATTGCTTCCAGCTGGAGTGATCATCAAACATGCCTGGATCATGGTATCTTTTTAGGCAAGTGGGAGCTAAGTATCTTTGAAGCCAGCTTTAATGACAGCTATCTTACCACCAACTTGTCTGGGATACTGTTCATCAGACACTGGGGACAGGTTTCATATAGGATATGCTGCGCTTCCTAGCACTCTCTACAGAAAGAGAACAAGCTCCAGTATCGAGCAGTGGACCAAGTACCTAATCCCGTGTTGGAAGTGGAGTGGGGCTTCATGATGAGGCAAATATAGGCAGTTTAGTATCAAAAGAAAACCTGTTAGAGTCGTACCTTGGCATTGCAACTCAGTGAGTGCTGAGGAAACAACCAAGCTTACCACAGTCACACTCGGGTTTCCAAGTCCCACTCTGATAGTATTTCTGAGGTGTTCACAGTTTACTCTTTCCAGAATGTTAGGTCAAGCCCAGAAACCCTAAGGAGCTTTTCCAGCCATCCTTTTCCAGCCAGGAGAGGATGACAAAAAGGCAACACTGTGTTTTAATGGAAAGTCCCTGGTGGCCAATAGCAAGAGTAAAGCTTGCACAATCCTGGGCGTACAGCAGAGACTCAAACGGGCAGAGAGACTGTGAAACTTTCCTTTACTTTCCTTTGTGGAAGCCCCTGAAAACCAAAAGGCCTAGAAAGTGGAGGAGAAGGCCAAAAGCCAAAGCCATGATGGGTCCTCATTCATTTGGCATTCCACTTGTCCACGCTAGCTCCAGCCGCAGTCATGCTTGTAGTACGTTTTGGGGTGAGGGCGTGGTAACTTGCCTGATCTGTCCAGTTTCTCAAAGGTACTTGAGGGGAGTTGAAAAGTGCTGGTGTACAGCAGGTAAGTCTGGTGTGTTGGGGTCAAGTCAGCTGTCAGAGGCAGAGCCTGGTGAAAACGCTCTTGGTGTGCCTTGGATGGAGGTGCTGCAGGGCTGAGAGGTCTGGAGGTCTGCTTGCCCTTCCACCTGCAAATGCTCCTGAGTGTCCCCAAGGCCAAGGCTATGCAGATGGCCAGGGATGTATCTGATCAAAACAGACTCAGGTTATCTGTTCCTAAAATGTAGTGCACTCTGCTTTCTGCATGGCAAGCCTCAGAAATACCAAAATTAGACTTCAGAAGAGTATAAAAAGCTCCCTGCTAACATAACGTGCAAATTGACTATCACATTCACTATTATCTTGGACAGCAACAAAATTAGAAGGCAACAGCAAACAGCAAAGAAAATTGCAGCTGAAAAAAACCAACATTATCCTCTTTTAATACATATTGTTAAAAGGAACATTTTTAAAAGCTGAAGAGACGTGAGCCCAGATGCTATCGCCGTATGTCTTATGCAGTTCATGATTATGAACAAACAGCAGAATACATATAAGGGAATCTAAAATGGCATGGATACGAGCCCAGCTGGTGTCCCCATATGCCTTATGAATTCCATTTTTAGGAACACAGCAGCATATAGCATTAGAGATGCTTCTTAAACATCTCATTTATAAATAGAGTGGAGCTGTTACACTGAAGTACACACAGAAAAGGTCCACAAGAATCATAAAACCAGCTGCATTCAAAACCACTGAAATGGTTCAACCAGTGTTTTTATTAGGAACCACTCTGTACTAGAATATTCCCTGAATGAGGGACGATCCTTGTTTGTCATAGGCTCCTCACCCTGATTTTTTTAAAAGCAACCACCAAAAAGCCATTTTAGTCAGAAAATGCCAGCTATGTGTGTTTTGGCAAACTGTTCCTACTAAAAGCTTTTTCGCATCCAGAATGGAAGATCAAAGGCCCAAGCTCCAGAGCAATAGAGAAGTACAGGTATAGCAGAGGTAAATTCTTGCCACTTCTGAAAAAATCAAAGCAGGGTCTGGAGCTTGGCTGGTCCACATCTTGGGGAGACTCTTTCACCAACAGTCTGTGGACTTTTCTGCAATACTGCTTTTCCTCTCCTGTTTTTCAATTTCATCAGAACCACCTCTAAGGAAAGGTAGTTAACTGTGAGGATTCCTGGTTAATTGTGAAAATGTATCACCAAATGCAATTGGCTTAAAATCATCATTTCATTATATGCATACTATCAAACAAAATATATCTAGAGCAGATATATTAAAAAATACACTACATGTGAATGAAAAATTATTTTATTTAAAAATACATTATACAGCAGAGTGTCTCTCTTTTTGTTTTCTCACTGCTGGTTCACAGAGATAATATGATAAATTTAACCCAAATATTTGACTGGGAAAGATCCTGAGAGAGAAAGAGACCAGTTACAAGCTGATGATATACAGTACACTGAAAGAGTAATCTCTTTTAACATAAAAGAATCTGTTGGTAATCTTATAAATCAGATATTAAAAGATGTAGGTTTGCTACCATGCAAAAATGAGTGAAGATTTCATTTAAATCTGCACACAGAGAAATCATTAGTACCTTGGACCCTAAATAGCTAGACTGAGAGAAGGGTAAGTGTGCCTAACACCGTGATACAAACTTTGCACCTACTACAATTTTGTAAACACAATTGATAGTCTAATAAAGGTGGATTTTTAATTACCTAAGTAACATTGTTGTAGCTAAGGGCTCTATTCTAGGACTTCTCTCACCACTGATGTGTTTCTTTATTCTGTAATTCTCAGCTTAGCACAATGACTTCACGAGATATACTCTATTGCACTCAAAGATGACTTGGCCTTGCCCTGTTTGCCAAGCACTATTTAGGTAGTCGTACTTTAGTGAAAGAAGAGGTTAAAACAAAAAGTAAAAAGCTGGTGTTACCTGGATGACTATGTGGGAATGCATTAAAATTCATCATAGAAAATATATACCTGATTCTACAGCCTTATGCTTCAAACATCTTCTAACAATGATTAATGCACGGGAAATACACTGAATTATGGAAAATTTAAGGCCTAGAAATGTTCAACAGCCTGCACTGAACATTACTATTCTCTATGTGTCTATAGTGCTAGCGCTGTATCAGCTGTTGCCAGAGGAAAACTTTCCGGCAGCTGTTAAGAGCACCTTCAGCATCTACAATATTCAGATCCATTTCGAGCTTAATTTTTACAGGACACCTTCACTACGTATAGTCAGTGAGGCTGTCTGTTGAAGGGGAGTTCAATTTGATTATTCACAGCGATAATAGGGATATGGCAACAATGCCTGATGTTGAAGAAAAATCTATTTGTCAACATCACACAGACTGACAGAGGATTTTTTTGCAAGAATATGGCCCTGCAACACAGAAATAGAAAGCTTTGTAAAGAGAAAGTCTGCCTGTCCTGGTCATTTAGACTGAAGAAATTAATGAAGCCATTTTGTTTCTTCCATGAGTGCTCCAACATGAAAATAGAGAGCAGAAACTCATACGCATTTTTCTCACTAAGCCAGTGACCCTCTTCTTATGTTAGCATCCATTCTCCCAGCATAATATCAGGGTACAACAAATATGACAAGATGCAGGCTTCCTCGAATAATTTTTTAAACGACAGCACGGCTTCCCATCAGATATGCTGAGCTAAGAATGGAGCCCTTAACATTTCATGGGATATCATTAGTAATAAAGAATATAGCAATAATCAAACTTCCTATATTATTTTCATTTCTTTTAACCTAGATACATATATATCATCCAAGACATTCAAGAACTACAAAACAACAATTCAACTACAATTATGTCATGAAAATATCCAAATAAATAAACTTTTAATTATGATACAATACTTATTACAGTAAAAATTGGCATTTTTTTCTCTTCAAAAGCAGAAGCACCAGTCTTACATGTAACATACTGTTTGAATGATATCTTACATGGAATACAGCGTAATACAATGTGCAAACAGCATTTTCATACAGAACATAATATTTGTCTATTTTTTTATACACTAAAATCGCCTCAAATGGAAACAAGTTCATGCTGAATTAAAAATGTAGATTTTAAAAATCAAAGTCAAATCAAAATATGAAGTACTGTTGGAATAGGTACATGAACCGTTAAAAACAATGAGAAGCCAAAATAGAGGGTATTGTCAGATAAATATAGTTAGTGCTCAGTTTGTCCCATTCCATCAAAAAGTAAACAGTTAATATTTTTGCTAGAAAGTAAAGTGACGTTCTAATATTTAAGAATTCTTCAAAATGTTGGTATCATTTTAATGATGTAAAAATCAAGTCAGAAATAGGACTTCTAAAAATTTCTTATTTTTGATACACTGCAATTATCGTGTGGGGGCTGTGAAAAGAGATGAAGTCCAATGGAGGGAATACACATCAGCATCAACATCATGTGACTTCTGCAAAGGCCGTGATGTGGTTCTACGAGTTAAAGGAGAAACAAAGAGATAAAAACCCAGAAACCACACAGACAGACATCAGTCGCCATTGTGAAAATCTTTGCCTCTTGTGCTTTAGGGACAGCCTTATGCTTGGAGACTATTGCAGGATGATGTAAATAAAAGTGGTTTTCACTGCAGCGCTCTCACTCACTCCCATAGCAATTCTTTGTTAACCGCTGAAAGACTGGATACGTAAGTATGCTGAACAAAGTAATTAGGTGTGATGGTTCTGCAACATTTTAGTTTTAGATGGGGTTTTTAAAATTAAGTATATGTAAATAATTGAGTCAGCTGTACTTTTATTGCTACCTTATTCATAATTTAAAGCAAAATTCCTAGAAATTAAAATGACAGTTTCTGACAGATTATAATATTCTATTTCAGCATTAACAACATTTTTAATGTTGCAATTTTTTTAAAGATTAATTGCTCCCCATGAGCTCAATGGCACAGAATCAAGTAGCGAAATGCTACAACAGAATTGAATTCAGCAATTGAGAACTCATATTCGAGATTTCTTTTTCAGAATCACTACAGTTTCCTCTTCATTTGTTCTCTTCTTTCCTTCAATGGGATGATTCTTCCGAACACAAAGACGTCTATCAGAATGTGAATATACTACGTGTGACTCTACACAGTAAAACTGCAGCATCCCACAGAGCTTTGTTACTCTTTCATGCTCTAACCTAAGCAAGTGCCTCTGCAAACATTTGGTAGGTGAAGACTCAACTGCACAGTGATGTGCAGGATCCAAAGGAACTGCACGTTCCCTTTAAGCACACAGTACCCTTGACTGTGTAAAGTCAGATACAATAAAAACATGCAATGTGTAAAATTAATAAAGGGAATCGTGATGTTAAGCCACGTGTTTGTTCCCCAGCACGAAAATGCACACAGGGAAGTAATACCATGCAAAGCACTGTGGATTTCTCCCATCACCTCCCCTCCTGGAGCAGACCAAAGTCAGAAGAGAGGAGGCATAAGCTGAAGAGGAGGGGATGTAACTAACTCATGGACAGAAGGATAGATCTCCCTTTTTTTGCTTAAGTGAAGTTGTACTAAGTCTATCAGGAAATCCCTTATCACGCACCATAGAAAGTGCTGGAGAGAAACAGTGGCTACCACACAATTTTCTGTTTCTCAGTTCTTTAAACTGCATGGATATTTGTCTGTCAGTCTGTGCAGGGGGCGGCAGGCAGGCATCTTTGATTTTCACATTGCAGAAAGGAATTTAGAAGTACCCTGAGTGGGAGCATAGGAGAGCTGCCTCTTACTCCCTTGTCTCCAAAGAAGGCTGGCAGCTTTGGTCCCTTTCTCACTGTGCCATAACTGTACTGTGTCCAGGAGGAGGAGCTCTCTTTCTCCTCCCCTATAATATGCATTTTAGCTCTAGCAATGTTCTTGCTGAATTTTATGACAGCTTTCATAAAAGAACACCAGTAAATAGCAAGCATCTATGTACATTCTTCTCCAAAATAGAATATATTTTAAATAAATAACAATGATTAAACCATAGCTAGCAGATTTTTTTAAAAAGTATTAGGAAAAAAAAAGAATTAGTGTGCAACTTTCTGTGAAAGTGTTTTCAGTAAATAATATTAGAAAATGTCATTGTTTCCAGATTTTGATTCTGCAGAAAAAAAGCAAAGTTAGATTTCCTAATTAGAAAACAAAACATTAACATTTCAAAGCATTTTAGTTGTTTGGCCATCATCTGCTTTCAGTACAGGAAACACGAAACATTGTGCAACCTCAAGGACTCTGGAGTTGCTGTGAGGCTATTATGACGTTTTCTTCACAGTGTTTACTTCATTTTTCCTTATTTAGACCTGAAAATTATCCTGTCAACTTAAACTAGTATCAGTCTAAATTTTCATTTTATTGGTTCAAAAATGAGGAATTAGAGGTGAAAAAAATTCCTCATTATTCATTCTAATAAATTCTTTCAAGTCCTGCTATGTGCTATCCTTTTCTCTAAGTGACACACATTTGTCTGTGACGCAGAGAACCAAATGCTCTTTCATGTGGCATTAATTCAGGACTGGGTAACTATTACTTGGGAAAGGAGAATGTGGTAAACGCTTCCGCCAGCTATACTTCCAAGATGAGCAGGTCACCATCCTTGGAAGGACATACAGACCATGGGATATAACCACACAGAAGAAAATCCCATTCCTCAATAAACTCTCAGAGAGAGCTGCTAAGCTACCAATTGCGGAGCTATTGATTTGGACCCTAGTGAAGACTTGTCAATTGACTTCCAATGGACTCAGCAGGATAATGTATAACTAGGTCAAAATTAATCTCTTGCTGATCACAAGAATCCCTGATACAGATTCATGCAACTGTCTGGGTATTCATGCTTTGTCATATGTTATTGTCTCAGGCAAATCTACAAATAAGTCTCGCTGAGACTTTTTACAGAAAAAAAATAAACAAACAGCACCCCTCTTGAATAACTGCATTTCAACTCTCTTACTATGCTCTTTTACTTGTGCTTAGATTTACTGTGACAAAGTTCAATGTGAGCTACTAACCACCATCAGCAAACAGATTCACACAGATGCAGAAGACAAACAAAAACCATGCATAAGACCTCAGCTTCTCCAATTCCATGGGAAATTATTAGAATATTAAGAATTAATATTAATGAGTATTAAGAATTAATATTCAAAAGAATTAGAATATGCTGAGGGTCTGCTCAATGGCAGCAGTTTCACAGACAGGCACACCAGCTTTTGTATTATTCATTCTACATTGACAGTAGAAGCTTGGTGTCAGCACAACATGAACAAAGCATGCTTCATAACCGTGCTCTCACACCACTAAAAGAAATACAAAAGCTGAAGGCTAAGCCTTGAGTGCAGGTTTTTGGAGGGAAATGATCCATATCTGTATATCTTCTGTTAAGATTTTAATTAATTTCTGTTTATAAGCAATTCTATACTGTTAAAGCATTGAAACAAATCCACAACATCTTTTTTGTGGTTTGCAGTTGTCATTATATATCTCAAATATTTTTTACCTGAAATTTTTTTGTTCTGCTCTCATGAACACAGTTAGAAATATTCAAAAAGTCATAATCCTAAAAAGATTTTCCCATTTTTGAAAACAGGAATTTGAAAAATTGTTTGTAGTCTTTCACACAGTGGAGTTTGTTAAAAGAAATAGAAAAACACTACTGTAGTAGTTCAGGCAAATGATAATTTACCATACAATAATAATAATGTTATCATACAGAATTCTCTGGGTCAGCGAAGTATATTTTATGCTTTTACTGGACAAATCACATTCTTAGAGAAATGAAAGAGTTTGAATTAAATTCCCCATTTAAAATGTTGCAGACCTGCACAGAATGCTGCCACCACACGGCATCTGCCTTTGCTTCAATTCCACACACAAACACTCATGTGCACTCTTGCACACGTGTTTACTGCCTTATATGAAGATGTTCAAAATGGTCCATTCCTGAGATCCAGCAGAAGAACCTAATGATGCGTGCTTTGAGGGAGTTTCGTTGCAAAGGATCTTCTTGATTGTTACTAATACCTTGATTCTGTAACACCTACAATACGTATATTTGAGGAGGTCACAATGAATATATTGTTCCACTTCCTATGTTTAAGTATGATTTTATTTGAACATTAGATGTGGTGATCACAGTTTGCATTCAAACAGAAATAATTCTTGTACAGTCCCCCAGAAGTAGACTTAAGCAGAAGAGTGGGACATGAATGCAAATTCAAATGCTTGACATCGAAACAAAATTGCTTATGGTCTTTTATGAGCTGCTTCTCCTGGGTATGTGTTTCTGTGTGTGAAACAACGTTGTATTATATCTCCTTTAACATACTGTATTATCAGGAGAGAACCATTATGACAACAGAAACCTGAAAACCTGCCTAAAAGCTAATGTAAGCACATGGACTGTGTAAGCTAATCTAAGCCATCCTGGAGATACACATACATGTACTATAACACTGTACAGATACCCATGTACACTTTTGGATATCAAGCACAATAGTATTTGGATACTTCTCAATTAAAATATTTTGAAGTAGCAAAAATAGACACAAACCCTTTCCCCCATCTGCCCATAGTATGATGAGCTAAAACATCTTTGCGTTTTGCTTTTAGCCTGTGAGCTCAGTGATAGGCGATCAGTCTCCCCGGAGAGCCATAGGGACCAGACCTGAGTCCCTAGGCCATGCTGTGTGCACGCAACTGCGCCTATCAATTAAAGACTTCTTAGTACCAAAATGCCAGCTATCTGAAACACAAATTGTCTTGTAGGAGATGAAGAAGGGCAGAGACAGGAGAGAAAAGGAGTGAGTGATGAAGTTTCTTGGCTTTCGTTCTTTTCATTACTTCCGAGGATGAATGTAGTCAAGGTGAAAGCAATAAGTCTGCGTTGTTGAGCCAGCTCTGGCAAGGATTCTTCAAGGAGATACTCTGCAACTATGGCTTATTTGAGTGCATGAGATGTGGGTACCCGTGCAGAACAGCTAAATCATCTACATGCACCACAGTTAAACAGAAGTGTCATGCAAACAGTGATCTACCCTTGTCATTAACCAGCAGCAGCTCAATTCAGAATATTACAAGTACACATATTCCTATTTAAGTGCACTTCAAATCTAGCTCTTGACCTCCACCAGAACTCAGACAGTGGCAGCACAGAGAGCATGCCAAGCATGCTAAGAGCATTCGTTCTCCGGCAGGAAAAAGCACTGGAATAGCAAGTAGCAGATCTGGAAACATACAAATAAGGTACTTCCAGATCTGTGTGAAGCACCATGTGCTTATTCATTTATGGGTGAATTTATAACAAAATTGCAATGCGTGAGGTCCCATCTGGTAGGCATTTCTAATAAATTCATTCTTTAAGACAGCATCTTTGAATTGGTCGCTCCCAGATACCCATATAGTTATTATTTTTAAATACCAGAGTTGCATTGCTTCATGCTAGCACTGCCTTAGCCCATGATAACTTCAGTCAGTCAGGATTTGTGCTACTCGTAATAGCTAATTTCTGACAGTAAACTGTCTGTAATACTGGCACAGGAGCTTGCAGACTAAGAATAAGGAAAAACAGCTTTAAAATAAGCCAAACGTAAATGTATATGCATTCAGAATATGGAACTGGAATAGCCCGAACTGAAATGTAGTGAAAAGTAACTTGCATGTGGCTAAAGTAGCGAAAGGCAAGTAGCACACAAATTATTTAGCACCTCTCCCTCTCTCCAGAGGAGAGCAAAGAATGTAAAATAAGAAGGGAGGTAAAAAGCAAAGACTAAGTTAATAATTCTTGTAGTGTTGGTAGTTAATTGAGATGGCTCGATTTAGACTTTAGTTCTACATAAGTATTACTCTTAGTGCCTTTTATTTAACAGGGTCTGGCTTTTATCTAAAACTTTAGACTAAGTATTAAAAAAAAAAAGATACACAAAATCTCAACACCTAAAGCACTCACATGTAAGTAACTTTTTCATCAATTATTTGCTAATTCAAATTTAAAATTTCTGAGAGTGGAAACAGAAGTAAGTATTTCCCAACAAACAGCAAAGTCTCCACATTATTGTCCTTCCATCTCATCCTCTCTGTCTGGAAAGGAGAAAGACTTTGCAACATAGACCAAGATGAACTCATACACTCAGATCTCATCAAGTGTTAACACCCTGCAGACAGCCCCCAATTTAATTATCTAGAGAGAAGTTCCATGACAGCAACAGCTACCCACTACTGCCACGGGAATATGGGTTCAGAAGGCAAGAAGCTCATTCATATAATAGAGTCCTGGGAAGTGCACAAATGGTAGAAGTCATCCTCAAGCAGAGCAAACATTATTCCTGCCACCACCTTTCCCTTTTGTGGGGAAAGTTATTCTCCCATAACTTTCCCCACAACATCTCAATCTTGCCTAGGCCAAGTCTCAGGAAAAGAGCATTGTTCATCATGAGCAAGAGGGTGTCAAATCAGGTAGAAACACTAAGTTAGCACGAGGTCTGTATCCACAGAAAGCAAATAAAAATTTCAACAGCCACAGAATGTACATTTATTACCTATGATGGCTTTTGAGTAGCAGAAATGGCTTCTATTGTGGAAGAGCCAAGCACATTTACTCCCCACACATTTCCAAGAGTAAATAAGACATGTTCTTATTAGTGTGGTATGTCCTAGGCCAACTGGCATCTTGTTTTGCTTTTTTACAGAAAGTTTACTGAATGGATTATTTTGAAGATACACATTCATCACCTAAAAGCTTGTTCAAGCAAATGGGACTCTGACCTCCTTATGACAAGATATCAGCAGAAGTAGCTTAGACACATCTGGTTCAAAAAGGTGTGTTCGATCATTCTAAAAAGAAATCTCTCCTTTCAAGGAAAGGAATAACAAACCCAGGGATAGCAGCAATTCTTACTAAAGGACAACTTCCACCACTTCCAGTGACTAAGCCCGACTGGGAAGTGGTTAAAAACATTTCTTCTCATGTTTAATATGAAAAAATATCAGAAGTAATTTGGATTTAAAAGAATGCCATAAAAACATATTTTTGGTGCCCTGCCCAATGTAGAATTGTTTACTATCTTCAAATATGGGCATAACACAAGAGATTTTAACAAATAATGACAGATAAAGTAATTAGAAAAAGTAGAATTGGTTTCAAACTTTCCCCCTGGTAAAAATGCCTAAAATGTTTTCTTCATTTGGTTATGCTATCTATTTCAGTGCTTGTTGCTCATAAAATTGTCCAGACATAACCTTACCTAACACTTACATAGTACAACATCATCTTCAAAAAACATATATTTTTATTACAGGAAACTAAAATAAAATTTTAAACACATCGCAATACTTACTCATGCAAAAAGCCTTGGCATAACCAGGAGACTATCACTAGCATGTCCTAGTCCAAAATCCCATTTGCTTTGGCAAGAGATCTCGGCTTTTGTGCAGTTACTGTATGACCCACGTTACTCTCTATTATTATCACGTTCATTAAGTTGTTTGCCCTACTAGCGCAGATGCCAAATCCCCAGCATTTCCAAGTGGGTGTCCCAGCCTGGGGCTAGCATGTGCCTGATAAAAGCCCCACAGCTGATCCAGAAGGGACTGCATCCCATGTTCTATACTAACTGAGGACATACCCGAAGCAATAGGACAAATGCCACTTGTACCTGAATTGCGTAACTCCTTGAGCTCAGGGATTCAATTTTCTAAGTACTTCAAGCGCCATGGACTCTCAGCCAAAGCGTTAATCAAACTTATTTGAGGAACATAAGGAAAGAGGGCTTCAAATCTACTCAGCCTGAATCCACAGACTTAGCAGTGGCTACAGCAGTAAACTGGACTAATATGTAGCGATTGTTCTTGGAGGTGACATGCAGAGTCTCCCAAGAAGTGTCTCTGAATTAATTCTTCCCTTCTTTCTCCTTCACTGCCATGTCTCCTTACTTTAAAACTGATTACCTTGGCACTCTTGTTAAGATAGTTTGGGATCAATCCTTCCAGGAAAGCTACATTTTATTTAATTGTTTTTAAAAAAGTCAGACATTACCTTTAAGGGCTTTCTACTCGGGGTATGCTGATCACGGGCATCTGGGCCAGATTATCCATATGAGAATGTTCGTGTTCTGCCTGACGTCCTCTGAAGTTATTTACCACACAAACAACCTAGAAGGAATTAGAAGATAAATAGAATAGCTAAGGAACTACTCATTTTTTTGAGCTTTGATCCTGACATCCATAATTAGGCAGAACTGACACCAGCTTTAGTCACAGCTTACAGTAGAAACACAGAAATGTGAAGTTCATGTTTTACAGAAAATCTTTAATTAATATTTCAAGACAAAAGATTTTCAACCAATTTATTGTTACACGCATCATCTGAGAACCAAAAAACTCTCTTATCTAAAAGCAAATCCATTACCAAAGCTAAATAATAGAATACCAATAAGCAATGTCATGAATAGATATCCAGAGCATGTGCAGCAGAATATGGCAGTAACCTTAAATTCCTGTGAAGGGCCAGTACCATCTAAGTTTCGACCAGCAAAGACTTTCTCAAATGGAGAGTGAGAGAGGGGGAATAAGAAGGCAAGGACCATCCCCAAGTTAGAACTAAACTCTAAACCTGCTCAGGGTAGCAGTGACTCTCGCGCAGGGATTTAGGAATGTGATATATAGCAGTTGGTTAGTGTTTCTACTAGTTTAGACACTCAGCAGCAATGTTTGCCCATTGTATTTTCTTCAAAACACAACTAAATTTGATGTCATGCTATTCAAAGGAGTTTATGCAATATAAATCACAAAATACAAGAAAAAATGCTGGGAGAGATTTCTTTCCTATTCTGTTCTCTTTTATGACTTTAGGGGCACAAACAGAATGGAAAAACTTCTTAAAAATGAGCAACAAAATAACTCCTGGACACCTTGTGTGGAAGGGAACGTTTGGAAACGCAAGCAGGTATATTTTAAAGGAGACTAAAGCTGCCCTCACATTTCTCAGAGGAGTGAAAACACCCACATCAGCCATCTCTGTGAGAGTTCTCAGCCAAGCCAAGTCTTCAGATCCAAGATCAAGACCTTGAGATCCAAGAATCAAGCTCAAAACTGTCTTCATGGGGAAAAAATTCAAAGGTGTATTTAGTACTACTACAAGCTGCCAAGGCAGACAAACTTGCAGGCAGTAAACAGCAGTGCCTATTTTATGCCATAGTCTTGCACTGAAGTTATCAGTGAAGGTGATTAATAGATTAGCAGCAGCTTTCTGACACTGACACTAGTCATTGTGAATTGCGACTAATGATCTGGTTTCCAGAAAAGGAAAAGGCTAAACAAGGATTTTTTTTAGATAGAAAAGAACGTAAAATTTCAATGTAAACCTGAATTAGCATGAAAGGAATTCAATGGGTTTACATTAAAGCTGGAAATGCTACTTATTCTCTGATCAGTGTAGGTATCACTATACCAGATTTAATCCTTTATACATGAAATCATAACTAGATGTTATTCTGAAGGATATACACTTGCTTAAAGTGGAGCTTGATCAAAAAATATTGGTTGAAATGATACAATCTGGTTTATAAGGAAGTCAAAAGAGATCATTTAATCAGTCCTTTTTTGACTTCACATCTCTGAGTGTATGTAAATATAACTAAGGAAACAGAAAATTAATTAAAAACAAAAATTAGAAACACCTCTTTTGTCATTTAGTTGTCTGAAAAGTCAAGGCTACCAATATTTTTTCTGAAGAGATAAAAAACTATACACTGATATTTTTCAAACAGAAGCAACACAGATATACACTTACCAAAAATACTGCTATAGATATTCCAATTATAAATCCTGCTATTACATCTGACCAGTGATTTCGATACTCTGCTACTCTGTTGATTCCAGTAAGGAAAGCCAAGCACATTAAGCCCAGACACAAAACAGGTTTTGCAAGCCTTGTTCCTCTGGCTTTTACTGTGTTGGTGATATACATCTGAAAATTAGAAAGGAAGAAAGTATAAGACTGATGGTATCTCCCATTAATTGGTGAATACAATCTCTACATTTTGTTTGAATAGACCATGTGTATTTGGCTTTTTTTTTTTTTTGGTAAAGAAATAATAAAGTAGAGGGCTAGCTAAAGTCATCACACCCTTTTCCTAGGGATATAGAAAAAGAATTAGACCACATAGGAAAATTACATTTTATGTGAACCTGAAAAGCCCACAAAAGAACAGGCAAATTAGACAATCCTATCTTATTACTCCCAATCTATGTGTTTATTTATGCACAGAGGTAAAGAGACTGATTTTTCACTGTGCTGTGTTGACAATAATAGAAAAAGGTCTTTACCCTGAAAGGGGCTACATCAAGGCCTTGTTTTTATTAGCAAATGCCTTTCTTCATACATAACTTCTCCATGTGATTACCTAGAGATTTGTCAAAAAGCAGTGAAATTTGAACTAAAGCCAGCATCTTTTATAAATAATGTGCAATAGTTTCAGTAAGTGCTGAACTAATACACCCCTGTACTTTACAGATGGTAACTGAGGATGTTTAGTACCAATCCTCTCCCAGCACACAAACCAATCTAAATGCAGAAACTTTCATGCATCAAACTCTGACAAATCAATCTGCCCTGCTTGCACTCTAACCCTCCCTTGCAATACTACTGAATGAAAAGCACTGCCTGGTGGCAGAGCAGCTCTTCTGCCTTAAGGGTGCATTAGTAACTACTAGGTTTAAGCTGGCACTTTCCAAGCTCTGATGGGCCAACAGAAGAAATTAATACCAAATCTTTGAATTTCCATTCTCTTGAATCTTGGCATTAAGGCTGCTTGAAAGTTCCCCCCTGAAAAATTACACTTCAACTAACAAGATTTTTAAGAAAAAAGTATTTACTTTCTGCAGAAGATGTTTCTGCAATTAAACCACTGAAATCCCTAAACCATTCATATTTGGACAGAGTTGAAGATCTTAGATTGAAAAATGGAAATATTTTCTATGGAGTTTCACTAGAGACTCCAAGTGTGTAATGCCATCACTTTGAAATGCAAAGGGAAACAGATGAATCCGCATTGAAGAATCAGTACATTTTGGCTAACAAATGGGCAGTCCTTCGGGGGTTTTTTTGTGCTGTCTGAAACTTCAGCTGAATTTACTGCGTAATCAGTTACAAAGTGCTACAATAATCCAGTCAAGAAGTTTAAGAAGTGTGGTTACAGTTACGTTAAATTAAGTGAAGCAAGTAGTGGTCAGAGCTTGTCTGAAAAGACCAACATCTGACAGTCATTTTGTTCAAAACGCTAGAGAAAGACCCATGGCTTAGAGGACAAATCAAAGCTTAAGGTGCAAATCACAGCAGAGTACTGCACCACATACATCTTCAGTGTAGGTTACGTGATGAATAGCAAATTCGTCACAAGCTTTCAACTAAGACAAACAGAGCAAAGATTTGAAAAAATAGAGTTTTGGGGCGTATCTCCAAACCACATCTCTCCTCTCCTCCTCCTAGACCATTTCAGAAATAGCGTTTCTCCCTTTGCTGTTTATCCTTTTAGCTCCTTCTATTTTTGCTGGCTCTCTTCAATGAGTTACTCTTTACCATGTAGAATGCTGATAAGACAACTGCAACTTTAATTTCCAGCTTTTTAGCCCCACTGGTTTTCTTCAAGCTACAGACAGAGCAGTGCATGCTGACTTACTCAGTAACCCTCTGTTTTAGTGAGTCTCATTGTACTCCTGGATACTACCACAATTATCCAGATTCACACTACATGTTAGAACATCTGGTGCTAGAGAAAATATTCTAATATTCTGAATGCGCAGCAAGATCACCAAATTTCAAATATAGCTTGTGTGAAGTTCACACAGGGAAGTTGGCAGGAAGGTATCCTGTATTTAATTCTGTATTGTGGAATATTAAATCAAAATGACTACTGAGAAGGATAAATCAACTCAAACAAGAGTGTAGCTTGTTGAGGCAGGTCTCGGTGACATATTTCAGTTATCTATAATACCTGGTCATCGCCCAAGAAGATGATCTCAATTTTTATGAAGTGAAAACACATTATAATACAAATACTTGATTCTGCAGTACTTCAGTCAAACGTCAACATTTTTAATAGAGAGCTAAACTGAAAAGTGCTCTGCAGAAAATTCTCAGAATCTTTTTACAATCAAGCATGTCCTTCAAATCCCTACTCAGGCAAAGCACTGAGTGAGCAGAAACAACTGCAGGCTCGCGCTGGGCCTCACATGAGTAATAAAGACCTCCATTTGCCAAGTGCCTTCCTACGTGTACAGCCAAGATCGTCATGCCCAGTCTATCATTCAAAATAACCTGAGGGTTCTGCCAGCATAGGTACCATTTCTATCTATCCTTTAAAGAACAGACACCACTGATATCAAGAATATTATTATATTAAAATATTATTAAAGCATCAATAGAAATAGGGTAAACTGTTCCTGAAACGGTGTAGCGAAAAGTCTGCGTATTTGCAAAACTCTACATAGCAAACGTAGACTCTTCCAAGCCAGGATTCATAATGTTCATTTTTAAACTTGACCTCTTGCAGTGCTAGTACAATATATTAACACAGTCAACTCAGTCAGGAATCTGATTTGAACTAAGAATAAAATACAATTAAGCAGTTGTTTTCTTCTTGATTCTGGAAGGAAAGCTAAAAAACAGAGTCAGTAATTGCCAAAGAATAAACATCCTGAAAAGATGACAGGATTTTTCTTCTCTTACTTTTCATAACTATTAATGCAGTATCAACAAAGGAAAATAGCTTTGTGATTCAAAAACATTAGTGAGAATGAATGACAATATAAATTTTTACATGGCTAAAGATGTTTACTGAACAAGTTCCTTTTAAAAACAGAAATTGGAAGAGGAGAAATCTAATTAAAGAAATCTTTTAAAGTAGTCAACAGCAAGACCAACAGCAAAGATATTGTATGTAAGGTCAAGGATTGATACAGTAGTTAGAATTGATTTTACAGGCTGCACGTTCTCCTGCAACATCAGATCAGCAGTGAATTTTCTCTTGAAGAGCTTCTGCTATTGCTTTTCCTTTTTCCTGAAATAAGATTTTTAGTATGAAAAGATGTCAAGGTGATCCCAGCAAGCAGACACTGGCAGAGAGCCATATAAGGAGATGGATGTTATCTGATCATTCTATATACCAATATTTACTAGATTTTCAGGAAAATACACACATTTGCCCTTCGGTCTTCAAGATGTTGGAAGTGAAGTCTTCAGAGAACCTCATAAATTGAAAGAAAAACTTTAATTGAAGTGGTTTTGAAAATATGTATTTGAAAGAGTTAGAATCATTACCATCACCACCAAAGACAAAGCTACCTGTGAGGTTTCCGACTTGACTATCTCAGGTGACAATATAGGGAATAATCATAGTGTTGGCACTTAGCTTGCACTGGGAAAGCTTTCAAAAGTGTCATGTTGCAAGTCTGACTCATGTGAAACAGGTCCTAAATCCAGTGCAAAAAAAAGTAATTCCAAAACATGTAAGAGAAGAACAGGAATTATATGTCAAGTGCAGGACAAAGTGGCCTCCTGGGCTATGCTGCAAGCTCTTCCTAGTCATCATCTTTCAGCTATCTTTAGCCTCACCCACAGAAACGTCTATGTACACAAACACACACATAATAGCTCCCAGAGTCCCATTTTAGTTAGCGTGGCGCTAGTCATCAGGCTGGGTGTACCAGCCAGGAGGAAGGTTAATTTTCCTAGCCGAAAAATGTTCCTACATCCTGGGGCCCAGGGATGTGGGTAGGAAGATCCTCTCTGTGCTTGCTGTTTCAGTCCTCCCTAAAGCAGATGGTCTGGGGGACTGACAAAGAGACAGACCAGTCCATTAGTGGGAAGAGAATACTGACTCATGAAATGACAAGCAGAAAGAAGAAGGAATCACTGTACAGGCACCTATCCCAGGCAGAGCTCCAAATATAAATTATCTCATGTTTTGTTTTGCTTTTATAATGTGCTATTGTTAAAGAAAGAATCTTGAACTATTCAAGTAATATAAGTAATGTTATAGATATTCCACCTGAGGAATGCACAACTTTCAATACTCATCATACTGACAAGAAAAGAGACACTTGGAGATCAAAAAGCTTAAAAAGTAGCAGGCTATAGTGGATGGTAGTCTATAACCAAGTTCAATGTTTAGTTAGAATCCTGTTTGACAATCTAAAAGCTCTTCAGCTTCCTTAATTAATAATTATTGGGTGAAATTATTTCTAAAGCAAACCACAGTCATTCTCAAATCATCTGAGTCTTTCTGCAACTGCCCACTGAAGACTTTTTTAGTACTTTTGAAGCCTCCTCCAGCTTTCCCCATAAGTTTTGCAGTAATTATTAATGATGCTAGATAAAAATTGGCTTTCAAAGTCAGGGGTCTGGGTTGGCTAATGGAAGAGAAAGCTCGAGAAATGCTTCCCATTTAAGTAAGTTTCCCACTATAAGCTCCCCACAGTTTTAAGTCTAAACAACTGGAAAAGGACAGAGGTATCCTTCAACGTACCAGGACTGTAAGATACACTCCATATTAATTGAAGCTGATTCAGTCTACAGAGGTTATTATCCTGAACAGTTGAATTGTAGTGAAGGATTGACTGACAAGAAAAATCTAGAGGCCTTTAGATAAATCCCTGGATCAAACTGCAACTTTACTATCCAGCCTGAAAGTAACTAATACACCCAATATATGAAGCCCATGATAGATGCTGTACAATCTGTATCAAGGGATACTTCTACTTGCTGCACCAGGTACCGAAAAGAAATGTCATTTTCCTAACACTGCCCCTGAAAAGCAGCCAAAAGAATCCTTTAATTCTTCAATTTCCTAACAAAAAATGGACAAAACTCAACAAGGTGGCTCTGCTACTCCTTTTCTTCCTGAACACTCCCTAAAAGCCTACCAAAGAGAGGCCTGTCATGCCTCTGCCAGCTGCCCATTGAGCAGGTGCCAAACAGGCACTTCAAAACGAAGGAGAGGTGAGACAAGGCCTACACCTAAACACTGGATCAAGGAGTGACACTGAGCAGAATGTCACCATGTTGCCAGCACTGTGACCCAGACTGCCTTGCTGTCCTTTCTCAGTGACTTACGAACACAGTAAACAGCAAAGACAATACAGCAAAATGCCAGGAGCAAGAACCTTGCAGAAAAGATGATCACAGGCCCAACAAAAGCTTTGCAGAGTGGAAAAAATTATTTGTCAGCTTTACCTGCTAGCCCTCCTGAGGCCATAGTTGAGGCCAAGGGTTCACCATACAAAGCAACAAAAGCAGTCTACAGACCTATGGACTATGTCAATTATGAAGTCATTAAACCTGCTCCTCTATCATTACAACTCCAAAGCAGGTCTGAAATGTGGTAACACCAAGTTCAAACACTACCCTACAGACAGGTTGGCTGCCAACTGCTCTTGTCCAACACAATAAGAATAAAACAACAAAACCCCAAATTTTATAGAATGAATTAAAATGTCTTAAACTACATCTAGCAATGACCAATCCCGTAGGTCTGCAGTACCAAAGGACAACTGTTAGTCACAGGTGTCATTCAATTCCATGGGAATAGACTGACTAAATCTTCATATATCACTTTGAAATCCTACCAAAAAAGGCACTCATGACTTCTCATTTCTGTGCCTCAGCTGTGGAAAAAACCCAAGTATGTGCATACTTGGCAGTTTCAACATATACCTCTAATTGTACAGCCTGTGTCAGCTTACACATATCAAAACGTGGTTTATACAATTATATTCTATTTAATAAACTTGCAGCATTTGCCTTAATTCCTATGTTAGCAGATGTTGTTGCAGCTGAGAAAGGGTGAATTGCAATGCTGATAAGAAGTGAAAGCATCCAGTCAACTTATTAGCCCAACTCAAGCCAAACACAAACAAAAGATCTAAGATGAGCTGAGCAGACACCTAAGGAGAAATCTAGGTAGCAGCCAGCTTGGTTAGAGATTTTGGAATAGATTTACAGTAGTTCATTTTGAGAATTCTTGGTACACTGGGAAAAATAAACCTAAAAGTCTGAAGAAGACAGGTAATGCATACTTGAAAGTGTCTGTGTTTGCAGCAGGGTAGAGAAAATGCCTAACCATAGTGCTGCCATTCAACATTTCCATTGCTAAGTCTTTCTTGATAGGTACTGAGAGAAAATAACGGAGGCAAACATTACAGAGAGGTCTAAATATTAGCAATAGAATTGTTTGAAA